TTGCTGGAAACTGTCTGTAAAAGATCTGTTATTTTGATACTAAAGATACAAACTCTGCTAGGAAAATGGTAACAATTCCAGATTCATAAGACTCCATGAGCCCATCTGCCCTGCAGCTGTCAATTGAGCTACAAATTTATGTTTGCAGGTGCTGTTTGTGGAACCCAGAAAGCAGCTGGTGTATAAAAGATTGCCAAATGCATATGAAGTGCAATTTATTATAATCAAGAGCCTAGGAAACCACCTGCCAGTTTGAAAAGTAGAAAAAATCCTTTCTTTTTAACAGAAGCAGATTTGCCCTTATTTCTTGTCCATGTTCAACAACAAAATTGCCAGAGTAAATCTTCCTAAGTAGAACTGCACTTTCTGGACCAGCTGAGGAGATTGGGAGTGGATTCTTCTTCTTTGTCCCAGCTGGGGATGGTCGGAGACAAGCCCAAGGTCCTTTCTTTGTGGGGCTTATATACCCTCTCCTTGCTCCAAACATCTATATGAAATCACTGTGGCAGATCACTTACCAACATGAGCAGGGTAGCATCAATATATTGATGATAACCTAATTATACATCTCTATCTTGGACCAATCAAGTGATACCATTGCAATTCTCTCCCAGTGCCTGGAGGCTGTTGAGGTTTGGATGGGTAGCAAATACTGCACAATTGTTCCTTTGTCCTATGCTAAATCCAACTTCTTTTAAGGTTGACTACTCCTGTGAGCCGCTGCTTCACTATAATTTTTGCATTACTGTTGGAATTAAGGACACCATTATATATGTATTATGTATGCATTTACCATTATTTAAAAAAGTGATTTGGAAAATTAAACAAAATACATTTTGAAACACACAAAAAACCTTTTATGTTCTCAATTGCAGTCAGAAAATTATTCCAAAAGTTAGAAAATGAATAACGAAAGTATATTCTACATAACACCCTATGGCTCTGTTGAGAAAGGTTTCAGGTCAGTGATGGAGCTTTGAATTTAAAATGTCCAAATTGGATTTTTAACTACTTTCATTAGGAATGAAAGAGAAGCTAGGGATGGTCACTGCCAGTTCTTGGAGTAGATAAGATAAATAAGGGATATGTGCAATTTCTTTCTCTCCGAGGCCTTGCTTAGCTTTAGAACAGCATGCTATGGTCTGTATCTCAAACAATAGATGGAGTCACAAGACAAAAGGGGTTGAATGAAGACAAAAAATAGGTTTTTTTATTTCATTTATTTTAATTTACAGAGATCAAATACTGATTTCAATTATTCTCCTTGCATTTAATATTTTTCATTTTTCCATTCTATGGCATTCTGTAGCCATAGAGGTCTCTCAGTTGTGCATCCCTGGTAAAGATTGAAATACAAAGAAACAATATAACAAACACTATACAAGTAGTCCTTGACTTAGAACCGTTAGTTTAATGACTCTTCAAAGTTACAACGGCACTGAAAAAAATGACTTGCAACTGTTTTTCCCCACTTATGACTGTTGCAGCATCTCTATGGTCCTATGATATAAAATTGGATGCTTGGCAACTGGCATGTAATCATGACGGTTGCAGTGTCCTGGAGTCATGTGATCACCCTTTGGAACTTTCTGACCAGCAAAGTCAATGCTGAAGCCAAATTCACTCAACAACTGTATTACTAACAGCTGCAGTAATTCATTAAACAACTGTGACAAGAAAGGTCATAAAATGGGGCAAATCTCACTTAACTGTCCTGCTTAACCATGGAAATTTTGGGCTCGATTGTGGTCGTAAATCGAGGACTACCTGTATAATACAGCAGGTTTTCATTGATATAATTTGCTCTGGGTAGTTGAATGAATACCAATTCCCTTAAGAGTGTTTTGAGTCTCTTTCTCCAAGATAAGCCTCACTTTATATACCTAAGCTCTTCTTGAGGAGATATGATTGCAAACAGCCTACTGAATTAGTTGGATCATTTTTTTCCACTCCTGGTTAGCAAACATGCCTCACAGTCCCATCTGTTTCTCTTGCTCTTTGGTCAAAGGAATGGATTACTGAAAGGAGGCTGTTGGTGCTACAGCTTTCTTAATACAGTCCCCCATTTAGAAGATCAGACTTTGTAAAATAATGGGGAGACTTTTTTTTGACCTTGAAAGGTGTAATTGTCTTGTAATGACGCATGTCTCATTTGTACTGTTCTAACAATAATTCCCCATTTCTTCAGAACTGTGTTTTGAGCTGGGTTTCTGGCTCACAATAACTATAATTGAGGAAAGAGAGAAAAACCTATCATCAAAAAATGTTGAAAAAAAATCTGCCTTATTATCATTCAGATGTGGCTTTCTTTAAATGTATGCCCTTGTTTTCTTGGTAAGACCCACCCTTCATTTAAGCAATTAAAGCCATTCAAATATACTATCTTAGGCAAATATACATAGGTAAGAAGTATTTGCATCTTTTGACCACACTGTTTTAAAAATAAACTTGTTTGGTGGTTGTGATTGCAGAAAGAACTTGGTTACCAACTGAGTCTTTTATACGGTAGGTATTCACTCAATGTTGACAAACAAGAATTGGGATACAGTATGGGATACAGTATGGTCATAGCGTCTCTCAATGATGGCTAGTTTTCCATTTTTTTTTCAAATCGTCTACAAAAAATTAAACTTTTATCAGAACCTAGTTCTGCATTCTGGTTTCTATGGCATTTTATGATACATTGCCCTTTTCTGAGAAGACTGAAATCACGCCTAATAGCAGGGGTCTTTAAACTTGACTGCTTTTAGACTTGTGGATTTCAACTCCCAGAATTCCTCCTTCTCCATGACTATGTTAGCTCAGGAATTCTGGGAGTTGAAGACTACAAGTCTTAAATTTGCCAATTTTGAAGACCCTTGCCTAATAGTATGATTTGCTATTTTGAAATCATCACATGCCGAAAAGGCTCTGCTCACTAGTATGTTGACGTTTTAGATTTATTCAGGGTCTGCCAGCTGAAAAACTTTAGGAGAGGAAGGAATGAGATGGAAGTTGAGATAAGACAATGTGACAATTAGTGAAGTATGCTGGTGGAACATTCTGTCAATTGAGACAGACAACAATAGGGTGGGAGCTGGGGGCAGAACTTGAGAGGCAGACAGAGGAACATGTTTCAGGCAGTATTTTATATCCCGCTAATCAAAGATCACGCTCTTATGGTAGCATAACTAGAGCTTACATGACACCAGAAATTGCCTTCTCATTGAAGTCAGTGAAAGGAAGTTCAACCTAACTCAAAGAACACAGACACATTTTATGATGACAGAATATAGGAAAGGATACAATGGGGAGTGGAATTTATCTCTTCAGGAAAAGCGCAGGGTAGCCAAAATAATCAGGCTTGTGGCCAGTATTAGGCAAGAGGTGAGTCTTATTGTGATCCTGTGAGCTGGACAGGATAGCATGTCTGGCTATGCTAACAAACCCAGAAAATGGCGTAGTTCATCATTAACACTGAGAGAGAGCTGAAGAAACTTCTTGGATAAGAAGCAAAATGTCTTCAAAGAAAAAAACCAGAAAGTCCAGTTGCCTTTTGAAAAAGCATCTCTGAGACAACCATGACCTGGATGACTGAGAATTTCCATAGATGTTCCTCACTAAAACATTTTTTCCCCATTTTACAGAATCATTTGGAAAATTTCTAACATTTGTTTCATATCTGGAAAAGTGCAAAGTGAGTAAACAAAACAGGCAATTATTTCTAGTGATTTTAAAGAGTAGGCTTCCCCTTCTCATCCAAATGGCTGTTTCTTGGCAGATAAAGGATAAGAGAAGAGCTTAATGGGCCTCTATTGAGGCAGGCAGGGGGCAATATGACAAAAATGTGCTTATCATCCTCTTGCAATGTGATAACTTGCATACCTGTCAGAAAGTACATAATGGAGGCATCTCCCTATCATAACATCATCACACACATCACCTTGGTTTTCTAATTACTTGCAGTGGATGCCACTGGGAGGGGCTCTAACGCTATCTTGTTCAGCCAAAACCTGGAACAGGCTGGACTTCTGCTAATCTGAAAGAGAATTGGAACTCCTTGCAATGGTTTATTCCAGGTTTGGAGCAAATTTCTGTTTTATACTCATTTTATACTCATTTTGAAAACAATTCAATATGAGTTAGGCCCGAATGAAAAATAAGCAGATTTTTGGCAGACGAAAGAATAAACAACTAGAGTAGCCCAGTTCCAATTTTGCCTTTGCTGCCACTAATAAATAAATAAATAAAACAAAATAGTGCTCTAGAAAGTCCTGTACACCAAAGAAAGTTTTCTATTTGCAAAATGGCGTTTTGTTTTGTTTTTGGAATGGAAGTGACAGGGGAAAAAAAAAATCAGGGTTGGGATCTTCCTCGGGAAGATTTCAAAACCAAGTTTGAAGTGCCAAGCTACGTAGCACGCTATTTTGCACTGAAAAGCACCTCTCCCGAGTCGGTGCAGACCCACGTAAAGGGGCATCTCCCAAGTTTTGCTTACCTTGGACAAGAAGAGAAGGGAGGAGGAATGTTTTATGAGAACGTCCCAAAGTCAAAGGAACGCAAAACGGGGCAGTCACGTCGCGCCAAGTTAAAAAACGCCGCTTTCTTTGGTTTACCCTCGATCCTCGTGAAAGGAAACCCGCTTCCTCAACTCGGTGGCGGGCAGAGGGCGTGAGGGGCGGGGGAGAAGGGGCAGCGTGCAGCAACGCTGGCAGTCCACGTGCAGAGAGGCGCCGGCTGCTTAGCTGGCCAGGCCCCGCCTCAGCCACGGCTTCCCCCGCCCCTCCCCCTTTCCATCCTCTCACCCCGGCCTTTCGCTCGCCGTTCATCGGCCCTTTAAACCCGCGCGCTTAAGGGCCGCCTCCTTCCGACCGACCGACCCACCCCTCCTCCTCCTCGGCAGGCCCGGCGCGTGAGGCCCCGCTCGCGCTACAGAGTGGGCGGAGCCACCTCGGAGCCCGGCTGTTGCTTCTGGCAGCGGCGAAGCCGGAGAAGCAGCCGAGAGTTGAGAAGGGAGTGAGCGGGGAGGGCAAAGCAGGCGGCAGCGGCTCGAGCGAGCGAGCCAGCGACCAGGCGGAGGAAGCGACGCCTTCTCGCGCGCGGAGGGGGGGGGCGGTTTCGGGCGAACGCGGGACGTTTCCGTGGCCGGCCTTCCCCTTTGGCGCGCGGGAGGGCTCATCCTCCTCCGCCGTGAATGTTGGTTGCAGCGGCCGCGAGCCCCTGCGGCAGGAGGAGACGGCTCCGTTCCCCTCCTCCCCTCCCCGCCCCAGCGCCTGGCAGCCAAGGGCACGCAAGGCCTTGCAGCAACCCGGGCTCCCGGTTCCGTAGAATTGGGGGGGTGCAGCTGCCCAATTCTGAACCAGCCGGACGGCCGCTGGGTGAGTAGCTCGGTGGCGACTGGCTCGTGTGGAGGAGGAGGAGGAGTGTCTCGGCGACGGGGGTGGAAGGGTCTTGAAGGCGCCTCCCTCTCTCTTCCTCCCCCCCCCCCGCCTCCGCCTTTCGGTTCCTGGCTCTTTGTTACCCGAACGGGTGTAAGACCGTCAGCGCGGAGAGACGGCTGTTTGGGGCGGCACAGTCAAGAGTTGCTCGGCTGGTCCCTGGCCAGGCGCTCAAGCGCACCTGCTTTCCAGCGGCTGGGCAGGGCGAGACTGCTGGAGGGGCTTCTCTTTCGGCGGATGCAGCGGAGGATGGCTTGCAAAGGTCAAGGGTGGATTGGAGAGTCGAGGTGAAGGTCAACCTCTGTGAAACCCTTGCCAGCCTTTAAGGTGGGTAGGCGGGTGGGTTAAGGGGAGTCGTCCGCAGTGGAAAGGGGCCGCAGTTCTCTTCCCCTTTGCTTAAAGGGAAGGCGGGGGGTGGTGGGAATCCCCCCTCGCCTGGGAAACTTGCAAACTTGTCTGGACGAAGCTTTTGCGTGGAAGAGCCCGATTTGGAGCACTTCCTGGAGGACGGTCTACGTCAAAGCCAACGGAGATTCTGAGACGGAGATGGATTCACGCTCTCTTGGAGCTGTTCCGCTGGGCTATATGGCTAAAGGGGGGAAAACCTTAGGCTGACTGACTTCACAAAACAAGTATTATGTGAAAGATACACTCGTAAGAGGGTGGAGTGGGAAGTGGAATGCTTTTCGGTTTCTTTGTGTCTCAGTCTGCAGCTTACTTGGGTGATGGGGTTCTCTGAAAGAAAGCGGGGATTCCTGTGGCTTCGTTTGTTATTATTTTTAAAGAGAAAATTTCTGGATAACGTCTTTTGTTTTATTAGGCTGCAACAAAAATCTGGGCTTTTAAAAATGAAGTTCTAAAGGGAATTCACGTGCAGTTTCGGTTTTGTAATAAGGTGTAAGTAATAAGGGGGGGGAAGTAAGTCTGTTATTGGATTAGTAAACCTCGGAAGAAATCAATTTCCACCACAGCGTTTCCTGAGAGGCTTTATGTAAGATTTGCTAATTGTATCTATCAGGTAGTTGGTTACTGGAACAGAAACATCCTGTAGTGATCTTGTTTGATATGAATGTCATATCAAATGAATGCCTGTAGAGATAGAATATACTCTGAATTTGCTTAAATTGCAATTCTGAGTCAGACTTTTATGTAAATATGTATAAAGGTTGCGTTGCTTATTTAGGCTTCACATTGAAAAGCCTGTTTTTCATCCATATTTTTTCAAAACATGCAAGTGAAAACCTGATGCTATCTAATGGTGATATTGCTTGAATACTTGTGAACATTTAATTGTAAGCTCTTACACTTTTTGTATTAAACAGTACTATTATCATTTATACTGTTATATTGATCGTTAATCTTACAGTATTACTCTACATCTCATTGCTTTAATTTAGTCCTTGTAGTTATTCTATTTTAACATATGGGAAAGAAGTAAGATTAAGGCCTGGAAGTTGATGTTTAATCAACAGTCTTATTAGTTGTAGTAAGTTGATGATTTCTTCAATAGTGGTTTACATTCTCATTATTTGATTTTTTAAAATATATATTTCTGTATTGTGTTCTATCAAGTCACTTCTAATAATAGTTTTGGTATATGTAGGTAAATGTATATATTGTATTCCTATAGAATAAATTTAACATAATATATTAATATGGATGTATTCATGCTATTTTTGTATTGAATTTACAATATCCTGTTAAAGTTTCTACATGATTTAGATATTTAACCAAATCAGTTTATGTCAAAGACTAAATGGGTGCCTGGGATTTTCTGTATTTGCATGTATCTTGAGGATTTACTTGAGTTGAAAGATTAGCTAGCATGTGTGTATCATGTCCTGTTAACAAGAGCACTCTTACTTCTTACTCCTTCAGTAAAGAAATTAGTGACAAATTTGAAGTAAAAAAAAAAGGCCATAAATGATTTTGGACCTCTCTGATTCTTTCAAAATAGTTATTTAATATAGATTTAGTGCAGATGGGTTTTAAACATGATTGCTGCAAATCTAGGGCATATTAAATTTTAAACTTGATTTTAAACTTGAGCAGGTACAGCAAAAAGTCTGGATAAGGATTTGTATTGTGTGCTCATAATTGATACTTATGGATAACATATACTGTCAATTTAATACCTTTTGGTCTTTGCCACATTCTTAATGGTGAAGATAGAAACAAACTGGGGATCTTTCCTCTTATGCTTCTTGTGCAGCACAACTATATCCCGCTGTCAATTCCAGAGTTGGGAAGAAAAAAATTGAACATATGGAATTTGGGAGAGGGAGATCTTCTACAGAAAGGTTTTTTTTAACAGGCTTTACATTTCCTTTTATTTTTTTGGAAATGTTTATTTGGGGCTTTCTGAATAACAATATTGCATCAAATATTGGTCATAGCTGGGAAAAAGCAAAATGTGGAAATAGTTGATGAATTTCTCAGTAACTCAGAAGTCTTGCCAAGTTGTTTCCTTGTGCTTTTTTTGTCTTCCTGTAAATCTGCAAATTGTGTAACAAGGCTGTGCTTGGCAGGATCCTTTCTATCATTGTAATTCAAAATGTTAAATTCTTTTAGAGAGGTGAAGCTTTATAGCACCATTGTAAGTTTATAGCATTCCATCATGAAGGGGTTTATCACTAGGGTTTCCACTGGAGGAAATGAGTAGTAATATTATTTCAGCCTATTCCATCTTTATCTGACTACCCTATTTGACTCTCATACTAAAGTGTCTCACAGTTTCTTGGGACTGATTCTTAGAAGAGGAAATTGGCAAAAATTGCCTTTCCCTTCTTTTGTAATGGATATTTGGATTGGATACTGCAACCCTGTATTTTTAACTAAAGAGGATGTACATTTTGTTTAAATGCAGGTTTTCAGCCTGTAAAGTTTAATTATACATTGGCAAGATTATTAATGCCGACTTGGAGGATAGTAGCTATGTTTTGCTGCTGTAGTCCTGAAGCTGAGTGCTAATGATACTTTGTCTACTTTACTAATTAAATATACTTGGTGATACCAGAAGTAGAGCAAGAAGTAAATGAAAACATGAGTAAGGCCCAATGAAGTGTTGAACTAAACTTCTGAAAAGTTAAAATTGTAATGTTATTTTTATTTATTATTTGCCTATTCCTGGTGGAAATATGAGATGTAAGTTTAATAAAGTATCAATAAGGCAGAATATCTGCCTTTATTCTGTTCTGGCAAAAGCAATTGTTTTTTTCACTGCGTGAACCTTGAAACTCATAAATGGTGAAGTATGTGGAGGGTGTGAATGATTTGAGTCAAGTAATATAGGCTAATCAAACATTGTTTAGACTGTTTTTCAAGTGTTAATATTTGAACCTAACTCCTTGTTATTTTATCCACTATTACAGTAAACTGGAACAAAGTATCATAGTTGCTGAGTTGTTGTTCAGTCTTTTGAAAAGCACAAAAAGTATAATTTAACCCTGGCGGAAATTTTTTGTTTTTGTTTTAAAAGTGTAACGAATTGTTTTAAATCAAATGGTTATGGAGAGATCAGTTTGGATGATTTGGACAAAAAAATGATTGGTTGTTAGCTTTGTATGAATATTTATGTTCATTTTATAAGGCAGTACAGAGTTAAAAATTGAAAGGGCAAAAATGTGATTTAGGCCACATGTGTTTGACATATGTAGGAATACTTTAAATGCAACAAGTTTTTTTTCCTTGGGATTGGACATCATTTTTTGAAGTAATAGTCAATGTTGTATTGTAGTTAAGTTGTTAAATTACAACGTGGAAGACCCAGGTTCACCCCCCTCAGTGAAGCCTGTCCAATAAAGTTGTTGTATGGCCAACAGACAACAGAGGGAGATCTCCTTGTAGCCTCCCTCTGTAGACTGAGGAGATGAGTAGTTTCAAAATTTGATGAATAAATAAATGTGCCTGTGGAAAAAAACAATATAAATTTAACAAATAAAATGAATGAAATAGCTTGAACTGCAATTGTATTGTGACTATAAGCTGGGTCCCTGCATTTTTAAAAAGGCTTCTTGTAAAATATGTGAAATGACCATGTATTTGTTTCTATTAGTATTCCATTCTTATTGAGACATTGCTAATTTTGAGAAGGAATGCATGAGACTTTCTTATCATAATGGAAATCTCTGATACACAAAGTGCATCTTTCAAGGTTATCATACTGAGTAATATGTTCCTGAAGTTAAAGACAAAAATTATATAGTTCTTCCTGTTTTTTAATATTTCTTAAAGTTTTGACTGTACGGCACTTAATAAATTGAAAACAATTTAGAGCATATTTATTCTTTTGCTTCCCCTACCTCAATGTGTTAGCTATGAAATAATTGTGATAAGGAGTTTTTGATATGTGTTTTTATTTCAGGCTTCCCTGAATATGTATTGTAATTGATCAGTGAAATCAGAAGACTTTCTATAAAATATTGCTTTGTAAATATTTTTGGAATTTGAAAAAATTCCATTTGCCCAACTGTTAAGTAATAGTTTTTAATATACTTTCAGTTTTTTGAATCTTTGGTTACTGCTTTTATGTTGAAAGAAGTACAGGGCATTTGAAAATAGACTCTTTGTATACCAATGAGGGAAGGACAGACATTTAAAATAGATTGTACAAAAAACTCTCAGTCATTGCTACTGCTACATCTTCTACAGTTTAGGATTAACTACTATTCATTATAATTAAAAATGTGTTTGATTTTTTTTTAAACAATTAGATTTTATAAACTTGCCATATGGTTATATATCATTAGCTAATGCTAATTCTCTCTGGTTCTGTCCTTTTGTGTATATGAGGAAAAGGCATTTGTGGTAATATTTTCTACTAGGAGTTCTTTATTGTCACGAAAGATTTATGCTTTAAGCATACATTATATGTGTCTAATATTGAGTCTAATTTTTCCAAAATCACATAGGCAAACATAAGTACAGCTTTTAATGATACA